CAGGAAGAATAAAAAAACATCAGTAGGCCAATAACAATTAATGAAATTGAAGCAGTACTAAAAAGGTCCCAGCAAACAAAACCCCTGGTCAAGACAGATTCACAGGGGAGTTTTACCAAGCCTTCAAAGAACAACCAACACCCATCATCCTCAAACTATTCCAAAAAATCGAAGAGGAAGGAACACTTCCAAACTCTTTTAGGAGGCCAACATTATCCTAATTCCAAAACCAGATAAAGACACTACAAAGAAAGAGAATTACTGGCCAATATCCTTGATGAACATAGATACTAAAATCCTCAACAAAATATTAGCAAATCGAATTCAGCAATATAATAAAAGATCATACACCATGACCAAGTGGGATTTACTCCAGGTACGCAGGCTAGTGCAATATTCTCAAGTCACATAAAAAAACATTGAAAAACAAAAATCACATGGTCATATCAATAGACACAGAAAAAGCATTCGGCAAAATTCAGCATCCATTTTTGATAAAAAACTGTCAGCAAAGTAGGAAAAGAGGGATCATACCTCAACATAATAAAGGCCGTATATGACAAACCTACAGCCAACATCATACTTAATGGGCAAAAACTAAAACCATTTCCCCAAGAACAGGAATAAGACAGGGATGTCCTCTTTCACCACTCTTATTCAACATAGTACTGAAGTCTTAGCTACAGCAATTGGGCAAGAAGAAAAAATAAAAGGTATCCAAATTGGAAAGAAAGACGTAAAATTGTCATTATCTGCAGATGACATGATATTGTACATAGAAAACGCTAAGGACTACACAAAAAACTTCTAGATTTAGTAAATGAATTTGGCAATGTAGCAGGGTACAAAATTAACACCCAGAAATCTATGGCTTTTTTATACACCAATAATGGTCTCTCAGAAAGAAAAACTTAAAAAATAATCCCATTTACTACTAAAACAGGAAAATTAGAAATAAACTTAACCAAGGAGGTAAAAGACTCAGAAAATTAAAGGACAGGAAAAAAAGAGATAGAAAAAGATATAAAGATGTGTTCATGGACTGCTAGAATTAACATAATTAAAATGGCCATACTACCCAAAGCAATCTATAGATTCAATGCAATCCCTATTAAAATACCATTAGCATATTTCACAGAGCTAGAACACATACTCCAAAAATTTATATGGAATTTAAAAAGACCTTGCATAGCAGCAGCAATCTTGAGAAAAAACAAAGTTGGAGGGATCACAGTATCAGATATCAAAGCCACTGTAACAAAAACAGCCTGGTCCTGGCACAAGAACAGGCATATATACATCAATGGAATAGAACAGAGAACCCAGAAATCAACCTAAGCCACTATGTTCAATTAATATTTGACAATGGAGGCAAGAGAATACAATGGAGCAAAGATATTCTCTAAATGATGTTGTGAAAACTGGACAGGTACATGCAAAAAAATGAAACTAAACCACCAAATTACAACATAGACAATAATAAACTTAAAATGGATAAGATACTTAAATGGAATAAACTCAAAATGGATATAATACAAAGTCATGAAACCATCAAAATCCTAGAAAAAAAATAGGTAACAAAATGTCAAACATCTCATGTAGCAGAATTTTCACAGATATATTGCCTAGGGGCAAGAGGAACAAAGGAAAAAAATAAACAAATGGGACTATATCAAACTAAAAAGCTTCTGCACAGCAAAGGAAACCAGCATCAAAATGAAAAGGGAACCCACTTCATAGGAGAACATATTTGCCAATGATACATAAGGGGTTAATTTCCCAATATATAAAGTACTCATACAACTCAACAAAAGGAAGACAAATAATCCAATTAAAAAGTGGGGACAAAGTAGGCTGATCAGAAATCGGTGCCTCAATCTGTGTAATTGTGAGGATGAGCAGAACCTCCTCTTCTCTTTGAGAGCTTTCAGTATTAAGCAGACTGGAAAGGGGACAGGGAAGAGAGGTGGATTAACCACAGGTTCTTCCTTCTATGGAGAATGGGCCTTTGCCCGTTGGCATAAGCAGGAGAATGGGAGGGGAGAGATCAAACCTGACAAATGGAGGGAAGTTGCGAAGACCTACTGGAAAGTCGGAATTACCGAATGCAATAGGGAACTGGTGGGGCGACTGCGGGAGGTAGAAAAGCTAAGGTTTCTCAGGGCAGCGGGCCTTCGAGGAGCTCTTAGGCAGCTTGGATTGTAAAGGAACTTGGCAGGGTCACTCTTGAGAATAGCTGGGAGTAACGGGTTGGCTTCCCCTTTTTGCATTCTTCAAGAGATGCAAATAAGACAGGACTTTGGTTTCAGGGACTTTTGGCTATTGCATAAGGCTTCTCATAACGGGACTCAAGCAATGTAAATTATACAGCACTTCCTACACTGAACCACCTGCACAAAAACTGAGGCTCAAATAAGCAGATGAACTTTGCCCAAGATGGCTTGGCTAATAAAGCAGAGGGGGCAGACAGAGGGGGCAACAGTGGGCTCTTTGCAACAAGATAACAGACTTTTCAGTCTGCTGATTTAATCATGAAATTACCTTGACTCCTGTCCCTTTTCCCTAAGCCTCATTCATGAGGCCATCCCACATCTCTGTCCTACTCTGATACTACAGACCAGAATTAGCTCACTGATTCTTTGAAATAATATCAAGACATTTTTATTGTGCAACTCCGTGCTTGTTACATGTTTGTTCACACAGGTGTATGTCTCACACCACCAGCCCCTGAAGGTGGGCTGCAGCCGCGTGATCCTCTCCGTGGAATGCCTCGCTGACATAGAGAGAAGTCAGGGCCAGGTAGTTCCTCTTTCTACCTCATTTCTGTTCCTTTCTCTGGACATTGCTCCAGATAGATTAGGCGTAAGATTAGTGAGTGGGGCTCTCAGAGTGGGGCTGGAGGGTGGGGTATTAAGGAGATGGGGAGTGAAAGAGGAAAAGCTAGCGACCAGCTGATCTCCACAGGGGTACAGACAGCTGGGGGTGGGTGTTGGAGTGGGTGGGTGGTGGCAGACGGTTGGGGAGGAGCAGGGGGATTTGTACAGTGCAGGCTAGGTGTTCAGATGATTTTCTGGGACAGAAGGAGCATGGGACAGGACAGGGCCAGGCCTTTTGGATGGTTGAGGTTACAATGCTGAGAGGGAAGACTGTCTCATATCCAAAGTTCTCTGTACCGACTGGGGTGCAGTAATTGTGTGTGTACGCACGTATGTGAGTGTGTGTGTGTGTGTGTGTGTGTGTGTGTGTGTGTGTGTGTGTAAGGAGAGGTTGTGTAACTTCTCAACTGAGCAACAGTGACTGCAGGTGCCATGACTATACCCGACAGCCCCTAGGCACCAGCTCAGCCACTTGGATCCATTAGTGCTTTAGGGTCACGTACTCCACTCCTTCCTGTCTCAGAGGCCGCTCCCCAAGCCCCAAATGAACCAGCTCCGAGTAATGTATCCCATCGTCTTCTGGAACATCTGGAATCACGTTCTCATAGTCGCCCTGAGAAAGCCACATCATGGTCAGCGTGGCTGACCCACTGTTTTCTCTCCTTAACTCCACAGGGGAGAGGGGGTCGAGAGCCCAAGCAGGAACCCTCTTATTCAGAAACCGGCTGCCTTTGGCATCTCAGAGTGGGAGGTGCTGGCCCTGTGCCTGGGCTGCCTCCCCAGGACCCAGCCTTGACACCGCTGAGACCACCCAAGCCTCCCCACCTGGGGCTCACAGCTGGGGCCAGGTCCTCCACTCCCTCCTTCCACACCCGCCCTCTTACCACTTGACGCTTCTGCACCACCGAGTAAGTGACTGTGTTGTCCCTGTTTAGGGAAGGTCTGTGCACCTCTGGGGTCCCTGCATCCCTGAGAGGAAAGGCAGATAGATGACCACAAGTGAAGCATTTCTTATGAATTCTGCCCCTTCTTTTAACTCCCTAGACCCCAAGAGCACCCCAGCCTCTCAGCCTTTTATGTGTACACCTAATGCTCACAGTAGGAGCTAACTTGTCAAACGAGTGAGTACCACAGCCTTAACCTAGGTCAGTGATGGCGAACCTATGACACATGAACTCATTTTTTTGGTTGATTTTTCTTTGTTAAATGGCATTTAGATATATAAAATAAATATCAAAAATATAAATCTTTGTTTTACTATGGTTGCAAATATCAAAAAATTTCTATATGTGACACAGCACCAGAGTTAAGTTAGGGTTTTTCAAAATGCTGACATGCCGAGCTCAAAGGTTTGCCATCACTGACTAGGTGATAGAGACTGACTCTGGGCATACATTCTTCTGGCTTGAAGGAGCAGGTCCAATTCCTGAGACCATTACTTACCAAAGGGGATAGGTTGTCATGGAGCTGGAATGAGGAAATGGGAACATGGTGGTGCTTGGCATGGGCTTGGCACAAAGATGGCAGGTGAGACATGGGCTTTCCCTCCCACAGCCCCCACCCCCAGGGTGCAGATGTCACCCTCCCGGCCCCTCAGTACCCAGTCCTCGGCGGGTCCGTCTCGCCGACAGGAAAGCGCAGCGTCGCATAGCTGATGGAATCTTCCATCACCGGATTGTAGCAGCCCAGGGACTGAGGGCCTTCAGGGAGGGGGGCTCTTCTAATCTGCATGAGGGACAGGGTCTCAGCTCCCACCCCTCCTTTCCCCGCCACAGTTCCCTTCCCCAGGAGGCTGACAGCCCAGGCTGCTCCACAGCACTCTTCATCACCCCCTTCACTTTGCTTCTTTGCTTGACTTCAAGGTCTGCCTGCACTTCATCTTTCTTCCATCCTACCTTGTTATTCCTCACAAAGAAGCTCTGCCCACTGGAATTTTCCTGAGGCCCTTGCTGGCTCTGAATCCTCTTCCAGCTAAGAAATAAAGACCCGCTCAGTGAGGAGCAAGGGATGGGGACAGGACCCTGTGGAGTGGGTGAGTTGGGTCCTACAGGATTGAGTAACTGGAGTTTCTCCCTGGAATGGGCTGAGGAACAGAAGAGGGAAGGCAGAAGGAAGAGAAAGGGAGGGCAGTGTGAGGAGCTCACCTTCCCTGAAACTTGACTCCCAAGAATGCCAGGAAGAGGATGACCAGGCACAGCCCCAGGCCCAGGGCCACTCGCCGGCTGATGGTCTGTGGGCTATCTGTGGGGAAAGGAGGACCCTCCATTGAGGACATTGTCTCAGTCAGATACCAGCCCACTCTGCCCTGAACATTCGCCTGGAGGGCATCCTGTCCTTTCTTCTGCATGATCTCCACCAGTGAGGACACAATACAGAAGAACAGAGAGAAGCTAGTCCCTGCCCTCTGGACCTGCCGTTAGGAGGTCCTGTTGGTGACAGGCAGGGGCGCACACGAAGCACAGAAGCCTCATAAATAAGCACCACTTTTTCAGAGGGCGCTTGGCCTTACTGTGGAACTTCACAAAACTGTCCTTGCACCCAGCAATTCCACGTAGGAATTTATCCTGCAACTATCCTTGCAGGGGTGCCCTGAGCAAGAGACTGCACATGCGTGAGAAGGGCACTAAGCAGCATTCACACACCGGAATACAGCGTGGCCTTCAGGAAAAGAGACAGGTCTCCAGGGGAGACCAGGGGACATGCTTTTAGACAGTGTTGCATTTCAAAGTAACACACACAGGCTATTTCCTTTTAGTGCGCCGTTTTGCAGGCAATAATCCTCTAAATTTAAAAACATAGCTCCAATCATAAATCTGAACAAAGCATAATAAATAAATAAAATATCTTCCCTATGTTTCCAGACACCCTCTGTATGCACACTCCAAGTGGTGTTATTACATTGGGGGGGAGCGGGGAGATTCAGGGCAAAGTGTGAGCCCTGCTACCATTTGTGTAAGGAAGGGTGTGTAGGCACCGATGGACAGATGCACACTGTGCACATACAGAATCCTCTGAGGAGACGTAAACCACTGCCAACAGTGAAGGCTTTGAAGAAGAGGGCAGAGTTCTCAGGGAGCAAGAAAGGAGAGGTATATCCACTATGTACCCTTTCATGCTGTTTTAGCCTTTTATCAGGTACTTGTATGGTTTAAAAAAAAAACACTCAAGTTTCAAAAGATAAAAACAAGGGTGAGACAGAGAGAGACAGAGAGAGGGACCCCGTAAGGAGCTCAGGATGTCTGGAAGGTGGAAGCAGCCTGCCAGGGAATCCTCCTGGAGAGAGTCAGGAGAGACTGGGCAGGAGGAGGGAGCCAGGGAGCTGTGTGCAGCAGGGTGTGCCTTTGAGCACACAGGTTGGGCTGGCCTGGCAGGATCGGGAGGGAGAGGAGCGGGAAGAAGGGGTAGGTGGTCTGAAATTCAGTCTCGGGGCAAAACCACAGGAGTGGCCAAGGCCAGAGAAGAAGAGGGAAGGGGCCTTACAGTAGACAGTGAGGGTGCTAGGGGGCGACCGGTCCACACCCAGTCGGTTGCCCCCCTGGCACCAATAGGCGCCTGAGTGCTGGACCTTCACAGGATCCAATCTCAGCATCTGATGATCATGGTGAAGGTTCTGGTTATTCCAGTCAAACCAGGTGTAGCGGGAGATGGGAGGGTTGGCATCGCTCTCACACATCAGGACTGCTTTCTTCCCCTCCATCACACTGTCTTTAGGGCTAATGGACACCTGTAGCCTCCTAGGTGCATCTGTATGAGAAAGAGAAATCAGGATCTGGGTAGCCAGTTACCTGCCCTTCTCTGCTCTTAGGTCCAGGCCCAGCCACTCACACAGCACTGGGAGCTCCCAGGCCTCGGATGTGCTCTGCCCTATGGAGTTGCTGACCACGCAGCTGTAACTTCCAGCGTCTTCTGGGGAGATGGAGCCAAAGCTCAGTTCTCTTCCTTCCTTCAGAAAGATCCCATTCTTCTTCCAGAAGAAGTGAACGTCCATGGGACGGCTGCTAGAGAAGTTACATCGGAGGAGGACTGCGTGTCCGGAGTGAATCTCAGAACGGGGGCCAATCCACAGGACCTTGACATCTCTGGGGGCATCTGGAGAGCAAGGGCCTCGGCCTGACTTCTTGGGTCCCATTTTCTCCTCCTGCCCCAGAAATTCCTCTCCCCTTGGTGCTGAGGCCTGACTCTTACCCCCTCAATTCTCTGTAAAGACTCTCGTCCAGGCTTCTGCCTCCTCCCCCTCAGAGCCCCATCTCCCACCCAAGTCACCTCCCAGATGGCCCTGCCCGGGTCACTCACACTGGACCTGCAGGCTGACAGGTTGAGCCCACGAACACCACAGGTTACAGGCTGCACAGGTGAATGGCATGGCATTCCAGGCAACTTTTTGAATCCTTAGCATCCCAGGTACTAGCTCTTTCCAGGAGCCGGGGGGACTCCATTCATATCTGGTAACTCTAGGGTTACTGGAATTATAGTTACAGAACAGGGTCACATTGTCTCCTTCTCGAATTGGTGTAGGATTTTGAATCACCATGGTTACCTCCTTGGGGGAATCTGGGAGGAAGTGAAAAAAATGGGTGAAGAAAAGTCAGCTGGTCGTAATACCTATTCCTTCCAGCATTCACGTAATTCCTAAACTAACCATAGGAAGGCTCGTGCTTCCTTCTTGCATCTGTGTTAGGACAGAAACCCTCCCCTTCTTGTCTGGCCTGGCTGTGGTTAGAGGCAGGATGGAGCAGCGGTTAGGAGCACAGCTCTGACAGAGAACATGTGGTGCTGTTTGTGGGTCTTTGCAAGGGTCTGGCACACACAGCTGGGTGGCTGCAGCATGAGTGTTAGTAAAAATGACAACAACAATAATAATAATAATAATAATAAGCACAGCTCTGAAGCTAGGCTGCTGGGCCCTATCACTTAGAACTGTGTGACCATGGACTGCAGGACTCAGTTTACTTATCTGTCAAATGAGGTCCTAAGAATATCTAACCTCATGGGATTGTTGCCAGGACAAAATAAGATGATGTCCTTAAAGCAGTGTGGTGTGTAGTAAACACTTAATAAGAATTGGTGCCACTGCTGCTATCACATATCAGGCGATATATCTAGATGTTCAAGATCTGGGCATTCCCATCAGCATATTTGGTCCAGATGATAATGTTCCAGTGTCCAAGGATGAAAACTATGGATTCTCTTTGTCCCTGGCTTGACACAGTGACAAGATTCACTGTGTTAAATAAGGTCTGATGATGGAGAGGTAATGACACGTTTTGCCTCAGTTCTCCTTGAACACTTCAGAACCCCTTCTGGGGCACAGCCACTGCTTAGTGATGCCAAGTCTCTGTGTCCTTCAAGGGGCCCTGGCATCGAGCAGTTTATTCATTCAACAAACATCTACTAAGCACCTACCACCAGCCAGACCCTGTTCTGGTGCTGAGAATACAGCTGTGAACAACAGCAGAACACCCAAGGAGCTTACATGTCAGGAGGCCCTTCCCTGCACTCATCTGCTTCCTCCTCCACCCACATCCCTCTTCTCCCTCTAGGACCCAACGTCTCTGACTACTCACATTGGATATCCAACTCAGCATTCTGGCCAGCGTGTCCACGACCAATACTGTTTTGTGCTATGCAGTGATAATTCCCAGCGTGCCTGAGGCGGACCTGTGGGATCTCGAAGGTCTCATCTGTCCCTCTCCACACTTCTTTGTTATTGTGATACCAGGTATAATTGGTTGGAGGAGGATTGGCCTGTGATATACAAGTCAGCTTTACACTAGTTCCCTCCTTAGCTGGTGAGGAGAAGATCTGAACCCTGGAAGGTTCTGGAGCATCTGGAAAAAGGGGCAGAGGCAAGTGGGGGAGTTGAGCAGAGGCCTCTGCTGCTGACCTCTTAAGGGCCTTGGTTCCACCCCACTAACTCCCTGCCTGCCCTTCCATAGCTCCCAGGAGGCTCACAGTGCACTTGGAGGACCACTTCTGATGTTGCTGAGCCCACACCATTGTGGGCCTGGCAGTGATACTTTCCACTCATCTGTTTGGTCACTTTAGGCAGAGTTAGCTTGAGAATCTTCTGCTCCCTCTGCAGTGTCTCTTGCTCTGTCACGGGGATTCCATCCTTGAGCCAGAAAAGAGTCTGGTACTCTGGGTAGCTGCTGATGACCTGGCACGTCATGGTCACAGGTTCACCCTCTTTTACATTGACTTCTTTGGGACTAACCTCCAACTTTGGGGAGTCTGGAGGAGCAGAGGGATAGTGAGAGATGAGAAAGGGAATTCGTAGAGAGTGTAAAGCAGTGAGAAGTTGTAGAGCATAAAGTTGTACAGCCACTTCTTCTGATAAAGCAGTGGCCTGTGTATAGCATGTGGGGTGTGCAGCCTTGTCAACAAGCATGGGCTGGCAACCATCACAGCCTCCTAACTCCTGTCTCTGTTCCTCCCACTCCCAGTCCCTGCAGGTCTGGTCTCCCCAGCAGCAGCAGCATTCCTAATATTGTCAATCAAACCTTGTCACTCCCTTGCTTGAAACCATTCAGTGGAGTCTAAAACCTGACTGCTGCCTACAAGCTCAAGTGCCCTGGTCCCTCTCGACCATCCTTTCCTACACTGGGCCCCTCAGACATAGTGCTGGGGCTCTGTGGCCCCTTGTTTGTCACAGATACACTACGTTCCTACTTCAAAAATTTCTCCTCATTCTCTCCTCTTCCTGGAATCTTCTCAAAAATATCTGCCTGCCTCAGTCCCTCCCTTCACTCAAACCTCAGCACAAGTTCACTTGCGTCACAGAAGTCTCCCTCTTTCCAAGCCCTGCTTTAGTTTTTCTTAATACACTTAGCACTACCTACTGTTATGAACTCTATTTCTGTGTTGATCTCTTTTTGCTTCTCTTTTCCACTGCAATGCTAGCTCCACACAGGCAAGAATTTTGCTCACTGCTATCTCCCCAGCAGCCATAATGAGGCCTTGCACCTAGTAGGTTTGCAACAAATATCTATTAAATGAATGAATGAATGATGAAAAAAAAATCCCTCCCCTCTCCCCAAAGAACAATAAAACCTAACCAGATGATCCCAAAATCATGTCATGGCTGGAGGATAGATTAAAATATTTTATTCTGACCAGGGATGGGAAACATCCTGTTCACAGGCTGTATAAGGCCCATTAAATCATTTGGTCTGGCCCTGCCAAGGCATTAGGGGTGCGGTAATTAAATGTTTGACCAAATATAGCAGCTAATTTTTAAGTTGATAATTTCGTATGGCCCACAGATGATGTTATAAATATCCAAATGACCCTCGGCAGAAAAATGGTTCCCTACTCCTATAAGCAGATGCTGAAATGAGTCAGTTTCCAGATATACCAGGGCTGACCACAGGGATGGTGGAGGAGGGAACCCAGCTCAGTTGGACCACTCCCGGCTCTGGGGCCCACAGACTGATTATGCTTCCTTCCGTGGAGGCTCATGCTACCCTGGTGCTCACGGAAGGGTTGGGAGGAGAGGACAAGTTCCTCGTCCTTCCCATTGGAGCATTGGAGAGACTCACGCTTCACATCTAGCCGCACCGTTTCCTGAGAGAGCAGCCCATCTTCTGTGTCATTCCAGACCTGGCAGGTCAGCTTCTTGCCATGGTGAGTCCACTGCGGCTGCAATGTGAAGTGGCTCTGGGTGAAGATAGTCTTGGTGGTCAGGGAAGTCAAGGGGACAGAGGCATGTTGACGTGACTCTTCCAGGAGCCACCGCAACTTGATCTGGTACTCAAAGCAGGCAAAATTCAGCATGCAGGTCAGAGTGACTTCTTGGGACTCCCAGATTTCTGGAGGGAGCTCAATGCGAGGTGGAGGAGCCGTCTCTGCAAAAAGAGTGGAGACCATGCTGGCAGCCTGGAAAACAGGACTGCTGCGTACCGGCCCTCACACCTGGCTTTAGATGCTCTGGCCCAAATAACCTTTCGGGATCCCCTTACTAGTCCACCCGCCGCTCTCCAGGCCTGCCTTTCTCTGCTTTGAACCACTTTTGTTCAGTGAAAGCATCCTCTGAAAGGTCTTGCAAGTGCTGAACCTCCTTAGAATTACACGTCATATTTTGTGCTTATTTTATTCTACTCCCAAATGTTTCCATTCTAAATGTTTTCAAAAAATAAAGAAATAAATGTTTTCAAGATCATTCTCCCATCACCCCTAAATGAATTTTACCAGTTTAGACACATTAAATCCATCTAATGCCAGTTTAGCTTAACATGCATTTCTTAGTTTTGACAACAAGACTGCACTGTCTAATGGCCTTGCTATTGGAGGCACAACTAACAGCACTCCTGTCGGAGGCTCCTCTGGTGGAGCAGGACGGTGGAAAGCCAATCCTGGCTCTCCTGAGGCTGGGCTACCCTCCAACTGCAAGGTCTGAAGCTACATCTCTTACTCCAAACATAGGGCTGCCTAGTCCCCCCACCAAGGCAGGCTATAAAACGGAGTGAGCACATGCCCCAGGGGAAAGCCTGAGATCTGTGCTTTATCTGCCCCTACACATGTCATTTAGCTATGAAGGGCCAGTTAGAATTAATCACCGACTTCAACACATTGCAAGATTTTACTTAGAAATCTAGTTTTCCCTTGAAAAATCAGGTCACCTGGCATCCAGAGTGCAGAATGGGCAGAAGCTGGGTGGCAAGTGGGTGCTTGAGGAGGAACAAGAGTGCATGCTCCAGTTTGGCCACAGCCCCATTGTCTTGTGCTGCTGAGTCACTCATTGGCACCCCCTGCCTGGCCTCTGTAGGCCACCTGGTTTTCAGGCCCTGTCCCATGAGTCGGTGTTTCCCACTTCCCTCCTACCCTGGCCTGAGGTAGAGGATACCATGCCCAGGGCCTTACTGGAGATGTTGAGGACTATATTCTCCATCCACTTTCCACTCTTCGATGTCATCCTCAGCCCCAGCTGACCGTTGTCTTGGGCTTTTACAGGGTAGATGCGAAGGGTGCAGTTGGATTTGTTGTCTCCCAGGAATTTCACTCTTCCCAGAGAGACAGACATCTGTGACTTCGTATTCTCATAGAGGATTGTCCCACTGTAGCCCTTGGTCTTGTCATCAAACACGTAATTCTGGTACACAGTCAGGTTTTCCAGGACCAATCCATACCCTGGGATTGTGTAGTGGCAGGGAATCCAGACACAGGCTCCCTCCCAGGCATAGATGGTGTCCGGGTGCTCAAAGTTCCATGTGCTTGAGTTAGAAAAAGCCAAGTATTCTGAAACCCACCACAATGATCAGAAAGCATTATTGAGGGACATGGAGAACTTTCAAAGGAGTAAAGAATCCCCTCTGAAGAGAGAGGGAGACACACACACACACACACAGCAAGACACAAACCCTACCCCACATTTACTCTTCTCTGCCCCAGATCTTTCCTCCTCCTCCAGCTCCACAGTCACCCCAGAACCCAAGCACCAGCCCAGATCACAATCCTTACCAAGGAGCAGGAACAAGGGGCCAAGGAGATGCATGGTGTTGTGTCTAGGCGGGAGCCTGGGGCAGAAAGTGTGTGTTTTTGAGCCACCTGGTCGCTTACTTCTTCTTAGATGACTTTTCTTGCTCATTTACTGAGATCCAACCCCTTGTCCCTGATCCCGGGAAACCCATGTCTGGCTGCATAGAGGCATGTGGGGTTCTGGATGCACATTGGGCTTCTTTGGTATGCTATGCCTCTCTCATCAGTCCGAGATCCTTGCAGGGCTAGTCTCAATCTCTTCCCAGCACTCCTTCCTTTCTTTCATCCATCTACCTACCAATTCATCCATGCATCCATCTATCCATCCATGATTGTATAAACTTCCTGCCTAGCTCTTGGGCTTTGAATAGCACCAGACGACTGAGCACTGCAAGTACCAGGTTATAGGAAACTTGGAGCTCACTTTGGGGCAACTAGTGAAGGATTTACATAGGGAAGAGACATGACCTAATAATTAAGTATGATATCAGGAGAGCATTTAAAGGGGTCTGAGAAGACTTAGAAGTCCAGGAGTCCCTCTCAGATGCCTAGGGGCTGGGTAGGAAACATAAATCAGCCAGGTGGTCCTGGGTCTAGCCAATTGTGGCCAAGTGGGAATGTGGGCTCAGCACAACCTGATCTTCCACTGTTTTAAGAGAAGCAAAATTGCCATGTGAAATATCCTGCTTAAAAAACATAAATAAGCAGCCTGTCTGTGCACCACAGACAGCCTAAGGGCTGCCAATGTTCAACCTCTCTCTCTCTCTCTCTCTGTCTCTCTCTCTCTCTCTCTCCTTCTTTCTCTCTCCCTCTCTCCAGTGAGCTGGCCACCACCTTACTATACTTTTACAAAGTTACATTTACATAAAGTTAAATTTAAGTCTTAATTTGCATGGCTGTGCCCTCAATGCCATCCCTGGGGAGTCAGGCAGGATGTGTCCACAGAGTGTGTCTCCTTTCTCAGCACAGATCTGTGCCCCTCCCCCCCACCCAGCCAACATTTCCCACACATCAGTGTCCCCCACCCCCCACCAGCTATGTGGCTTCTGCCAAAGGCTGTTGGGTATGCAGTACCTGGTGTGCTGAAAGCATGAAGAGGTCTGTCCCCAGGGGTAGTGGCTGTGCTGGCTTGGCTCAGGCAGGGATTAGGGGTAAGGGATCTGAACGGGTGCAGTCTCTCCAGGCAGAGCTGACACCAGCTCTGTAGGCACTAATAGTGTTACACACACACACACACACACACACACACACAAAGTCTTCAAGGTCAGATCCATTTGAGAGAAACTGGGTTTAAAAAGTTAAATAAGACTTTACTGCAGGCCTTTCAATCAATGGAGGGGGGGTAGGGGATGGGGAGTCCGTGGGGGAGGGGGGAGTGTCATACATCTCCCAGCATGGGGTTAGGGTACATACTTCGTTAGCCATGGGGACTACTTTACATTTTCCATGAAAAACTCGGCAGGGTTGCAGGGTCAATGTTTTTAGAGATGCACTTTGGATCCCCTTTGAGTTTCCACAAGGTCTGTGGCAAGGGCCAGATTCCATGCAAAGACTAGCCTTCAGCAGCTGGGCCACTGTGCCAGCAGCCAGCATCCACCCGCTCATTGAGAACTGGCTCAATAATTCCAGGATGAATGGGAGAGGGGCTGGGTGCTTACCTGAAGGAGCTCCAGAAAGTCTCTGGGGCACAAGAAGTGGGCTCCAGGCTTGGAATTGAAGGGCTGCTACAGCATGGTGGAGTGTGGAGGCTAGGGGCAGTAGCATTAGGCACAAAGACTCAGGACAAGGCTACACTGTTCAGGACCTCAGAGCCAGCCTCCCTGAGTTTATTCTTCCCTCTTGGCCATCCAGTGACCATCCTATTCTCAGAGGCTCACCAAGCCCAGCAGGGGAGATGCTCTAAGACAGGCCTCTACAACCTGCTATAACACAGCAAGAGAGGGAGAGGGTCCCATTGTACTACCAACCCCAAGAATTGTGCCTGGCACACAGTAGCTGCTCTATACTTGCCTGTTGAATGCAAAAAAAATAACACACACACAAACCACCAAAACAAAAATAGTTTTTACCTGTTTCCTGGTGTCTTCTCTCTTCAGAGACCCTGGCAGCATCTGAGAGTGAAAGGAGAAGCACAGTGAAGTCTTTAGTAACTAATTTTCACCCTTTGGACACACCCCCTGCCTCTTAGTGGCTCTGAAGGGGACTAAGAGGCATGACGATCTAGGAAGTGGGGAAAGAGGCAATGAAGGGGATATAGGCTTGGAGCCAGTTTGGAAGGAACACTCAAATGTCTGTGGTCAGTTTTTTCTCAGTGTATGGAGTTTCTACATCAGATGAGTGTCAGAGTGAGCTCCTCCACAAGTTCCCCTGCATCCAGCTCTTAGGAAATGACAATGACTCAATCCAAGCAGATTAGAGCTGTCAGCCTGCTGGAAAAGGCACAGGTCAACTTGAAAGTATTTGTCTTTTAGTTTCACCATCCAATTATTCTATAGCAGTGATGGCGAACCTATGACACATGTGTCAGAGGTGACATGCGAACTCGTTTTTTTGGTTGATTTTTCTTTGTTAAGTGGCATTTAAATATATAAAATAAATATCAAAAATATAAATCTTTGTTTTACTATGGTTGCAAATATCAAAAAAATTCTATATGTGACATGGCACCAGAGTTAAGTTAGGGTTATTCAAAATGCTGACACGCCGAGCTCAAAAGGTTCACCATCACTGTTCTATAGGCTTGAAAGGTAGGGAATCCGACCACGAACATTGACGTTTTAGGAACCCCCAAGGGTTGAGAAAGAGCCCACATATATCAGAAAGGATGAAGATAACTAATGTGAACTATGATTACATGGGCAAGTTTTGGAACTAAAACCTCACCACTTTTATCAGGCGTCTAGTGTGTGAGTATTTGAAACCAGAACTGGACAATAGGCAAAGCCATCCAAATCCTACAGATGATAAGGGAAGCTTCTGAGAAATATTCACTCTGACACCACTCTGCTGACTGCTGGGCATTAGGAATAAAAGAGGGAAGAACAAGGTCTTCAAAAAGCAGTGATGTCCTGGGAGGTTCTAGGTACCTTGATTGTAGCATCTTTGCTGCAAGAATTTTTGCCAGAAATGTTTTTGCCATATAACTGGCCATAAGGCAATTTTGCCATAAAAAAAGTAAAATAATGAAAAATAAAAGAGAGCACTCTCCCTCCCGAGAGCATATCCATGTTTTCCCTTCCCCTCCCCGCCCCCACTACATTACCATTAGCTTCCTCACTCCCAAGCTCCAAGGGCCCTTCCTTTAACTCTAGAACTTGTTTGCTAAGTCCATTTCTTCTAGGATTACTTTTTCTACCTCTGTAATTTGCCCAATAAAGGTCTCTTACAGTTAAAAAGAAAAGAGAAATATTAAAAATAAAATCCTATATAATAAAAGTGTAGTATACAAATTGTCCCCTCTACCGGGAGTTCATCCAGTAGTTCGACCAGGGGGTAGGGCCAGCCAGGGGAAGGCAGGGAGGCCCTGACCGATGGTGGTGGCAGGATGCCCCAGCCAGTGGCGGCAGGTGGCTGGGGGAAGGACGGGAGTACCCAGCCAGCAGCCGGTAGCCACTATGGACCCTACCAGTGCATAAATTTCATGCACTGGGCCTCTAGTTAAACATAACAAATTTAAGAAGATGTTATTAAGAAATACAAAATATTTGAATGCATTTAAAATGTGTGTAGATTCATAGCAATACTGTGCAAATAACTGACGTTATTTTGTACCTAAGCACTTATCTTTGTTCATAGGAAATGTGGGTTCAACTCTGTGCCCTCAAAGAGGGTCATTGGCCTCTTTTTCCCTCCTAATGTAATGTGTTTCAAAACAAGAAACCAACTCTTGGGGCAAACAAATGCTAACTATTTTAAGACCAACACCATGTCTTCTCATCACTGTACCAACCACTGAGAGGACTAGCTATGACTTATTTATAATACAAAAATGTGAGTAACTGTGAAAACTTTGTCAATGGAGAAATGAAACCAAACAAACAAATAAAAACACCAAACTGTCAATTATTTTATTTTTTTACAGTGGTTGATTAATCTATACTAATAATAGCCTAGGCCCGTCACAACCAGATGGGATGACCGAAAAGTAACAGTAACAATCACACAGCAGCTGCATAGTGTGACCAGGCCGGCAGGGGGGTTAGTCAGGGACAACCAAAGCACTGACCAGCAGGCTGCGTGGTGCAACCAGGTCAGCAAGGGTGTTAGTGAGGGATGACCAAACGAATGACCAGCAGGCTGTGTGGGGTGACCAGGTTGGCGAGGAGGGCAGTTTGGGGGGCGACCAGGCTGGCAGGAGTGGGCAGTTGGGGGCGATCAGGCTGGCAGGCAGTGGTGGTTAGGGATGATCATGCTGGTGGGGGAGGCAATTAGGGATGATCAGGTAGGCAGGCAGGTGAGCGGTTAGGAACTGGCAGTCCTGGATTGTGAGAAGGATGTCCGACTGCTGGTTTAGGCCCGATCCCTGGATCGCGACTAAACCGGCAGTCGGACATCCCCCGAGAGGTCCCAGATTGGAGAGAGTGCAGGCTCGGCTGAGGGGACCCCCCCACCACTCCTGTGCACAAAGTTCATGCACCGGCCCTCTAGTCACTCAATAAAGAAATGAAACCAAAAAAGACAAACAAACAAAAAACATACAAACTATCAACCAGTTATTTTATTTTTGTGTGTGACAAAATTGCTTTATGGTCAATGAGTCCTGTTGCAAACATGCTTGTGGCAAAAATGCCTGTGGCAAAGACGGTATGGCAAAAATACTGGGCATGGTTCTGGGGAGATGGGGTACGTGTACTTTCCCCTATTTCTTTCTTTAAGTATAACTAAAAACCCTGGACATTGTAAAACAAGCATAAGAAAATTTTGAAATGTATAAATAAGGTACACTAGTTAGGGACCTCAGGATCTGAGGAATAATATGGCAGTGAATTCCATTGATTTTCTCTTTGCTTCATATATCCCAGACTAAATTCTGGAGAAGCCAGCAACTGGAACTACCAATGAGCATAGACCAAAAAATTTCAGTAAAATCCCGCTCTTCTAGTCAAAGAACCAGGAAAGGGGCAGTCTAGATAAACAGAAATCCTTCAGGCAATAACTGCTCGACTACAGAAAAACCTGCAGCTTCACCCTCACTCCCTGGCAGCAAAGGCTGAGTGGGGAGCCTAGACTTTTTTAGCAGGGATCCTCAGGCCACTCCCTTAAGCCCCACCTAAGTGGTTCCAGAGGAGGCTGAGTCTGGAGCTGGGCTCTCATCCCCACAGGGCTCCTCTCCTTACTGGAGTGGTGTAAGAGGAGGTCTAATGGTCAGTCAGGACATCCACCATTACTCAGTGGTAACAAGCCCACATCCTACAGTAGAATCTGTGTAGAAGCCATATGGACTGCCATAATAAGTCACCCTCCTCCCTCCCAACTAGGATGGTAATAGTGGGTGCCTAATGGGGGACCTGAACTCTCTCTCCTGTCCAAAAACAAGGAACCTTCATCCACCCCCTGCCCCCCGGGTCAAGGGAGGTTGAATGGAGAATTTGGACTTCTACCCCCACTTAACAGTAGTGAGGCGGTGCCCTGCTTCATTTCATTGGAGCATTGTTGGGGAGGTTTGTTATAATACAGATTTAAGGTCCATTCCTGAGCAAGATTAAAAATGGCGGTGGAGTACGTGGATGCTGCATTGACATGCTCCCAGGACCAAACTGGGATTACAACTAAAATACAGAAAAACTGCCTGAATAATCAATGGAAGACTTGCTTGAGAGAACCCTGATAACCGAGGACAGTAGGGTGGTGAAGGCCTGGGGCAGGGGGCAGGAGCGGGCTGGAGAGGGGTAATGTAATACTTTCAACAATAAAAAAATAATTTAAAAAGATCCATTCCTATAACATAATATCCAAAATTTCAGGTTTCAATTGAAAAATCCCTTATCATACTAAAATCCAAGAAAGTTCTCAAACTGAATGAAAAAAATTATCAACAGACACAAATGCCAAGATGATACAGATGTTAAAATTATCTGACAAAGGTTTTTAAGCAGCTATTATAAAAATGCTTTAGTGAGCAATTACAAACGTGCTTGAAACAAATGAAAAAAAAATAGAAAGTTTCAGCAAAGAAATAGAAAATATAAAGAGAACCAAAAGGAAATTTTAGAACTAAAAAAATATATTAACTGAAATAAAAACCTTAATGAATGGGTTCAATAGCAGAATGGAAAGTGTAGAAGAAAGAATTAATAAAATGGAACATAGAACAATAGAAATTCCCTGTGGATCCACCAAACTTGTGCTCCACCAGAGGGAGGGCAGAGTGGACTGGAGCTGTGTGAGCAGAAACCAGGATTGGAGGCTCTGGGATTAGAGCTCAGAAGGCAGGCACCCTGGTTTCCTGTGCAGAGTCATTTCCTCATGCTACGGATGTCATCTTTCTCACACAGACATCTGCTATACAGGCAGGTTTGCCTGGGGGAAAGACAGTTGAACACTCTATTAGAAAACACCTTGCCCCATGGTGTGGAGTTTCTAAGGCCCAATAAGAGACTGAGAATAACAATTAGCCTCCAGACAGAAGCAATTGTCCACACTGTGGGGGAAAAAACTCCCATCACACCTGTGCACAATTGCCTACAGGGAAT